GTGGGGAAACCTTATGATACCATTGTATGATATCACAATGTTTCTGTTTCTTTGGTTTTTTTTTCCCCGCCGGGGACCGTTAACAAATACTGTCCTACTGATGGTCTTGCTCTATAATGTTGAGAGTGCAAAGGGAAGTAGGTTAGGGAAATGGTTCTATAGGAATGTTTGAGAACCCCAAAACTCGAAGCCCAAAAGCCTAAACCCTACACTACATACCCAAAGTTTTTTCTCCGCAACGATGACAGCTGTCTTGAGGTGCTGATGGAGCAGAAGCGCAGAAATGTCGAGGCAAGCATCCGCTATAGTCCCCTTAGGACTGCCCGACAGCTTCATATCCTAAGCCCGCATCCGTGCAGTCTGCTGGTGCTTTCTGACACCCTCAGGCTGTAGCATCCTGATTCCACGATGGTTTCCCACAAGCAACCCACAGTTTGCGCGCCTCTTATTGTATATACCAATAATTGCCAATAATATCAGCAGTAAACTGAACCCCGTATCCCAGACCTAAAACTATAAATCCAAGCTCCGGAACCAGGCCATCACCCTAGGCCGCACGGACAGCGGGGATGGCGAGCACCCCTACTTCGCCCTAAACGCAAACGAGCGCATCCGCGTGGGTGCCACACTCTTCAGGCGTTTTAGGGTTCAGGTTTGAAAGCAAGGTTTGGGGTTTTGGATTTATGAAGGACTGTAGGGCATTCAAGTTGTACGCAGGATTAAGGCGAAGCGAAGGTGAAACATCAAAGTTCAGGAGTTGCTGTATAGCTGGATCGCTGTTCAAGAACTTAAACTAAGTCACCATATTACGGGTACATATATATATATATGATGAATCATAGGGTTGCGTTATTACAGTGAGTTAGAAGATTTCCTTAACAGCAACCCAGTTAGGTGATAAAACGAGGCCTTCGGGTTTGGGGCATGCCGTTGACGGTTGACTATGTAACGGCCAAAAAATTTCAAGTCGAGCGTGGGTGTCATCACTGGCAAGCACGAGTGGGCATCAATGATAAAATAATGTTACTTTCAGCTCAGTTGTAAGGATGGCAGTCATAGCAGAATAGCAGTGCAGCGCATGGTGGGGAGGAAACTAAAAGGAGTAGGTAACAATTTGATATGTTGTGGTCTTCGCAACAATATCACTGGTACTACATGTTGCTAGTACATGTTTTTTTCTGGTTGTTGTCGCTCTGTGCCACAAGCCCTATGCTTAGCCTCCTACAGCCCTTATGGAATCACAGTATAACACCCCCAAACCTCATTTTAGTTTGCTAGGCCCCTACGGTACCTTGAACCCTAAACCCTGCCCTGAACCCCAAGTTTTTCAGGTCATCATCCGCAGACATTGTCTCCTCGCCATGGACTGACTTGCAAGAGCTGGACAAGGTTTAGGGTTTAGTTTTGGTCAGGACCCTAAACCCTACACTTCCCAAAGTCAAAGCACATGCATGGCAGTTTCCTAACATAATCCCTCCAGAATCCCGAAAAAGGATCTCATAAACATCCAGCCTAAACCCTATATCCCTGTCTACCCCTAGAGTTCCCAAAGAGAAAACACGGTCCCCAGTTTTGAGAAACTCCCTTGGGACCATAGGGATAGATAGATGAGGATTGGGTTTAGGGGTTTAGGGGCTAGGGAGTAAAAAAATCCATAGGCGCAGTTTCCATAAACTCTCCTATGATTTGTTCTCTAAAGCATGAGCGCCGTACTTGGCACCAACCTAGTTTGTGTGGTGACCAGAACGGAAGCCCGATTTGTTAAACGAGAAGTCGGAAGCCCGATTTGTTAAACGAGAAGTATGAGAGGTTCAATGATGTACGTATGGACATTTGCGTGCAGGTGTGCGTCTGCGTGCGGTAGGATTTTTCTGTTTTTGGGGTTACATGCACAGGCTAACGACCGCTACATACACTGAACGAGGCCTAGTAGGATCCCTGGGAGGCTGAGTTCTTCTGGGGCGAGTACTCGAAGTTGGACAATTTCTACGCCCTTGCCGAGGACTGGCTCTTAGAGACCACGATGGTTGACGGTCAGCGGATGTACCTGAAGCGCGGGAAGCTGGGTTGGGATTTGGATTCAGGGTTGAGGGTTCAGGGTGTAGGGTTGAGGGTTTAGGGTTGAGGGCTAACATAGGACGCCTAAGAAGTCATTCTGCTCTTGCATGCACATTCAGTGTCCCTGTTGGTCCAGAGCCACATGAAAGCAGAACATAGCCTTCATATGCCCCTCTTCAAAAATTACAAGAGTCATCCAAGCCCTGTGCTTTGCTTTGATGTCCAGAGCCGTAAGCCCGCGAAAGCTTAAAGCCTGAACCAGTAATCTCAAACTGAAAGCCCTAAACCCTAAATGGTAGTTTCCATTTTACTTCCCATTATCCCAATATAGCCTTAATATAATCCCTAATACCATACAGCCCGAAAGTCAGCTCAGGAAAGTTCGCTTCCTCTCACAGGCTTGGCTCGTTCCGCCGCAATGGGACGAGCTGATGGGTGAGGGGTCCTATGCTGAGGCGACGCTGGGTTGAGCTTTGGGGTTTGGGATTTCAGGGGCTCAGGGTTCAGGGGTAACCATAACACTAGGCTTAAGCATTTCCAACTAAGGTTTGGACGGCTTGCATGTGCATAGGCCCGTCTTTTTTTTTGGCCTGGAGATGTGTTGTATTTGTCTATCCACCTATCCATCTCTACTACTGTCCACGCTAAACCCTCAACCCCTTGTCCTGTAGGTTGTGTAGCGTTTGGGTTCAAGGTTGCAGCGTATCCTTCTCTATCTTTGACACCAGTAAGGTGCTAGGAGCTTTTGGGTAGGGATTCATGCTTTGTTTTCAGCGTTTCAGTGGGGGCATCTGTTTTTGCGAAGTTTACTCTAAGTTTTTGAGGGTGGCTTCGCACACCAATGAGCTTTCGTCGCCCTATACACACTTTAACGTCCTAAAGCCTCAACCCAGGAAAGCGGCAGAGATCTGCTGCGTGGCAAAAGACATTGCCGCTCGAGAACTTGGCAGCGCTACACGATGGAGCCTTGGGTGTCGTTCAGAGCTATGTTGGAAAACAACTCAACCACAATCAACTTAGTCAAAACCTATCAACCCCGATAGTTCCTATTGTGAATAAACCCTAAACCCCTACCTGTAGCATTTTTTTTACGGCTTTTGGGCTCTTAGGACACTCATCTCGAAGCTCTGAGTGCCAACTGTAAGGTTAAGTATTTGTCACATTAAAATGACTGTTTACTTACCTCTGGTTAGCTAGGAATGATTCAATGGATCCTTATAGTCCCCAAAAGAACCCATCAAAGTAGTTTCCATTTTCTTCTCCAGTCCTTCATTCCCAGCGAACCGAAGGTACGTTTATTGGCAAAGAGCAAAATGCTGGCGACACTGATGTTGATAGTGCTACTCCACCTAACAAAGAGGCCAGCAGCACGTTTGCCAATATTAATTTGTGTCGATCTTCGCCATGGTATTTCAGAAGCGCAGGGCCATACACCAACAATCCCGCGGCCCTAAACCTTTATATTGTAGAATAGAATTCTACCCTCAACTCTACGCTTAAACCCCAAGCTCCAAGGCCACAACGACAAACCCTAAACCCTAAATCCTAAGCCCTAAACCCTAAATGATAGTTTCCCAAAATAGGGGGATCCCAATGTAGACCCCAAAATACTACAATCCTTATTATAGGGACCCCATAAGGGTACCCCTAATTTTGGGAAACCCCCAAATCCAAGGAGAGAGGTACAATTCTGGGTTGACAAATGCTGCATCCCACAAGGCTCGGCTGGTTTAGGGTTTAGGGTTTAGGAGGCTTTAGTTATGGGTTCCCCTACTACTACCTTCTATACTAACCCCCGCCCTTTACCCCCAGAACATGGAAAGTTGAATGCAAACTGGTAATATGTAGGGCCATGCAGGGGCTTTATGAAGTTTGCACTGAAGCTTTCAGCAGAAAATGATCTAAGCGTCGCTTGTAATAAACGTACAGATAGGATTCATGCTTCATGAAAAGTTAAAAACGCTTTACCTTGTGCTTCCCGGCGGGCATTGGTAATTTCTCAACAGCTATCCCTTACCCCTAGACACTGTGCTAAACCCTAAACTCTAAATAGTTTTGGAAGATCTTACTGTTGCAGATTAAACCAGGGGCTCTGGTTTTGATGGATACGGCTTAGGGTTTAGGGCTTAGGGATCACAAGCTTGAGGTATCATCAAGTCCTAGATTTAGGAGGAACTGTCGCGACTTCACCTGACCTAAACGTCCAAACTCCCAAGCCCGTCAACCCTGATCCCCAAACCCCTAAACCCGCAAACGCCTAAATCCCTTAACCCCAAATCCAGCTTAAACTCCAGCATGACCTTAATCTGGAATGACTGACCAGTAAGGGTTGCAATACTGTCCCCCCAAGAGTATACCCCCAGCTTCATCCCATGAGGCCTTACTAAGATGTACATAGTCTGCAATCGCTTGCCCCTAATATTAAATACGGGTTCGCCGAAAGTCCAATCTCTGAACTCTGCCCCCAAAACTATTGTTAAAATGGCCAAGACTACACTTAAGTGCAGTCCGATCCTCTGAATTAGGGGGAAGTTTTAGCACAACTCTTTCGGATCAGGGATTTCCTTGGTTTCCTAGATTTGGGTTGTTTTTGAATTGTTTTTATGGATGAATGTATATAGAAGAATTCCAGAAAAAATCCAAGGCCCTAATTTGGAATAGTCCACATTAAGGCCCCAATTTGAACTAGTCCTTGATAAGGCCCTATTTTCAAATAGTCCCTCATAAGGCCCTAATCTGGAATAGTCCTAATGAGGTCCTAATTTCAAACAGTCCCAATAAGGCCCTAATTTCAAATAGTACGAGATAAGTCACTAATTTGAACTAGTCCCCAGCAAGGTCCAAATTCGAGCTAATCCTTAATAAGGCCCTAATTTTCAAATAGTCCCTAATAAGGCCCTAATTTGAACTTGTCCCTCAAAAGTCCCTAATGTGAAAAAGACCCTTACTACAGTTAATCGAACTTTGTACGGTTTTAATCAGATTGCACTTACGCCCCTCATGTTCGGGTCGTAGAATGAATGCCACCTCCTAGTATCAAATATGGTTCCGAGTATGTACATTAGCCAGGGGGAGGGAGAGGGGCCCTTTAATTTTAGGGGGAGACGATTATTAGCTCCTCAAACCTCGGGGGAGTACTTTTGGGGAGGATGGTATCCCAGAACGCCAGTTCATCCCGAAGCCTTTGAACCGAATCACCTGACTTTACTTGCGAGTGCTTGCCAGTTCCCATTTTGCTTCCCATGTTCTTCACCATTTGGTTTTCCGTATTTTCCAGCTAACCACCGTTTTTTCTCACCAACTATTCGTGCATTCCTTGCGCTGAACTCGTGATCCTAAATACCCACCACCAGTTAGTTTCATCAGTTTGGAAGCGGGCTGCGATTTTTTCATGCAGATGGTTTCTTACACCGATACCGATGACCTCAGGGACTGTAGGGGTACATGACCATTATTTTGGGATTGCGGAGGTCCAAGTCGGGACGGTTTTGGAGAAATTGCCAGATCATTTCATATCTGACCGCACTGGACGGATTTCGACTATGGATTGGACCGCGTGAGTTCCAACGCAGTAATCCAAGCAGTTTGCATGCAATCAGGGGTTGGCATTGAACTAAGGAAGATCAGCAGCAAAGCATAAAACAGACCCTATGCCTTATACCTTTACCCCCTGGACCCTACATCCTTCACCCCACGCCGTACAGTATACTTAATGCTGAAGGTGACCGAGAGCTCACGGGTTGGTGCGTGAACCTCCTAGAGGAGTACATCGTGTTTTGCGACGGCCTCGTTGTTCTTGCCACATGGACATATTTTACAAGGCCGGGCTTTGGAGTTTACAGTATTAGGCCCCTAGATCATGAGGTGGAGTTTAGTGTTTGAAGTACTTGTGCTTTTCGGGGGGGGTTCGCACGCGGCATGGCGGGATGCCCGGAATCTCTCTTGTAGGTCCGCTATTTGGAGAAACTCCTTAAATCTCACTAGATCATGCCCTCCAAACCTCAATCGAAGGCTTTGGTGCGTATATGAGTGGGCGTGCTTCCTCCTCGTCCACGACCCTATGAACATCGAGATTTGTGCTGATCCCTTCGTGCGAGGCTGCGCCAGAAATACAGCATTAAGGTTTAAGCTGGGGCTTAGAGTTAACAACTAAAAATACAGAGCGGAGGGAAAATGACATTTGCAAAATATGGGGTCTACGTGGCTTTCCATCTGAATTTCATTTTCCAACCCACTACCTTTAAGTCCCTTGACCAAACACCAATCCTTTGCAGAGGCAGTACCTTGCCTCTCTTCCTTGACGCCATCGGCAATTTCAAGCTATCTTCCTGCCAGTGCTACCGCGAAGAGGACCGCAAGATCTTGCACAACAAGGTGGGCGTTGGGCTTAAGATTTGGGATGGCATCTGACTTTTGAATAAAGACTGATAAAAAAGAAAATGTTGGTCAGGGACTCTTGTCTCAGGTGGTCCCCTTCCCGATCACCAGAAGCACCCAGCTTTGGGACGAGCATAAGCTCCAGCAATACCCCGCCTACAGGATGAACATTCCTGGTCCAGGGTATAGGGTTGCGGGTTTAGAGTCCGGGTTTCAGGGTTGCGTTTTTGGATTTAAGGTTCCAGGTTTAGGTATGGACTAGCATCCAACGCCTTGCGAACCTCATACGGCAGCCATCAAATTGTAATGTTCTGCCAGCCCATCGAGGTGAAGAAGTACTACAAGTCCACAGAGCTGTGGCTGGGCTTCTGTTGCGGCGGTTTAGGATTTAGGGTTTAGGGTTTAGAGTTTAGGATTCAGGGTTTAGGGTTTAGGGTTTAGGATTTAGGATTTAGGGATGGGGATTCTGTGAGTATTTCTCAAATTTATCACTATCAGCCTTCGTATCCCTTTGGTTGGTGGAGGCCCGCTATCTTGAAACACTTCCCTCTAGGAGTCCAGAAGGGTTGTCTAGCAATATTGTAAGGTTCTGAAAAAACAAAGCCAATCTTAGGGTTAGGTATTGCGTTTAGAATTTGTGGTTTTTGCCTAGGTAATAGGGAGGGTTCAGGCCCTCCCGAATGCTAACTTGGAACCCATGTCGTGCAGTGGTCTGCAAGGGATTTTTTTTCAGGCTCCATGCTTGTTTCATAAACGTTTATGGATACACATTAATTGCAACCAAATGGTTTAAGGCTTAGGGATTAAAGCTCAGGGAATGTGTTCTGGAAGAACGCAAACGAAAACTATATTTCCAGAGAGTGCAGTGTGCTGCTGCTGCTGCTGCTGCTGCTGCTGCCGCTGCTGCTGCCGCTGCTGCTGCCGCTGCTGCTGCTAGTGCTAGTGCGGCTACTACTACTTCTTCTGCTTCTATTTAGTCTTATTGTTCTTGTAGCCCTGTACTGGCAATCATACAATGGTACTACGCTATGAGGCAGTCCAGCTTGTGGATGATCCTTTCTTTGTGTTTGGTCAGTGCGTTTTTGTAGTATTTGGATTTGGCTGGCTTTGGCATTGCATCCATTAGGTCAGTGGCAACACGTTGGGTGTGTAAAGGGCGACAGAGGAAGCCAGGTCACACTTTTTGGGGGCGTCTTCCGGCTGGGTCCAGCTTGATATTGAGAATTTTCCGGGAGCGGGCCCATTATATGCGTTCAGAAGCACTTACAGAAGTATGGTTATCATCCCATTCTCCTATCACAAATATAAACATGAGCCCTACACCAAAAACCTAAGACTTGGGCCGCAAGCCCCGAACCCTCAACCTCTAGCCCTCCACGCTAAGCTCCACATCCTCAGCCCTAAACCTTACAATCTAGACCCTTGTAGGATGTTAGTCCACAGCATCTGCAGTCATGCTAGAAGACCTTTACAACAAGGGGTCACAGAGGACCCCTGCTGGGATCTTCATCCATCGGGATGTGCTACATTAGGGAAAGTACTACAGTAGTTGATGATACTAAGTATACTGCATGGCTCTAAGTGCTGATGCCCTCAGAATTCTCGTTGCTCTTGTATACTGAGGTCAATTTGAGTCTTGTAGCACAAGCCAAAGTACACCCAACAGGGCTGCGTAAATGTGAAACTCCTGCTTATGCCATTTCATAGACCTACACAGCCCAGACTGTCCGCGCAAAGTCGGGTCAGGGGTCAGGGTAAACCCAAAACCCTCAGCCATAAATTAAGAATGGCAGTGATCACGCAGAAATGGCCTTTGCGGCTCCAAGTTTCATCTGTTCTTGAGGCCCAACACCTCTAACAGATGATACTGTAACGACCACGCAATACTGGTGTTTGTAGGACATATAAGGGGCATGTAGGGATTAATGTTGGGCTTGGTTTTGTGTTGCCCCCAAACAGTAGGGCCCTCAGAAAAAATAGAAATTAGGGATCCTCAATGAGGGCCCTCAGCCTCCCACGGTTCTGAGATCCCTGTGGATTGATTTACAATGGGGAGTTGAGAATCTCTCCTTTACTTTTAGGGCCTCAAAATCAAAACACATTATAGCGGACCTCAAGGCAAAAGCGGTCCAACATTATGGGGGGGAGGGGGGGGGGTGGGTTTAAGAGGTTTAAGGAATGAAAAAAAATGGAATCTACACCATGATCTTCATGGTTGAGGGCTGTTCTGCGGGGACCAAACCTAGCAAATAATGGCAAGGAAATGGAAAGCGAATTGGGGTTGTATAGCGGGCTTATGTGCCTTCTTGTTTTGACCTTGGACATAATCCTATTGTATCAGCAAATCTTGGTGCAAAAGGTCTGCTTTACTGGTTCCAAGGTTTGAGAAGTTTTTGAAGTTCACGGCCATCGCCCTCTTCGCACGCTGCACCGCCCGGAGGCGCTCAGCAAAGGCAGGAACTTCATGGGCTGACACTGTTGCGATATATTTGGGAGGTTTGAACCCTAAACCTTTGAAGTTTCCTGCACACTTCATACGACTAGCAGTTTTTGGGCGGGCAGCAGGATTTCGAGATGGGGTGTAAGGTTTATAGGGTTTGCCGGGTACTTCTAGAGTTTCAGAGGATATACGCGTATAGATATTGGGTCGTCTGTCCCTCCTTATACAACAAACCTCACATATACATAAGCTGCGATGCAACGATTATGTAATCTTTCAAATTCCCTCTTTCAACGTCACTGACGTGTTAAATGCATTTCCTTTTATACTAATTTCTTGCAGTACATATCTGTGTAGAAGTCCTACCATTATAAGTTTGCTATGTTTTTACATAGTGAGTTGCATCATTCCTTATTTTTTCTACCCGAGACAAAAGCCTAACCACACCAAGACACAGGGGAAAAACAGCGCACAACCCTCTGTAGGTTTACGTCGGACTAATCCGCGAAGGCATTGGTTGTCATTGTTATTAGTTATTGCCTCGAGCGCAGCGTTCGCGCGCAGAAAACGCGGTTCACCAGACCTTTTCGGGAATGGCCCGGTTCTTCACTTTGGCATTTCCCGGGCATCCATGCCCAAAGCACGTCCATGTTCGAACAAAAGCTGAGGAGCAGGAACTCATAGAGCATACATGCCGACGTCGCCCTTCCCCAGAGCACCCATTCCCGGAGCCCACCTGGCCCTCGCCCGAGCTAAGATAGCATCCATGTATTGACACATGCATGTCCAAGAGCGTCCAAGCTCTCCATGTACGAGCGCAATCATCTCCCCATCAAAGCCCAAGCGAAGAAATATTTCCAAGTCCCAGAGTAGTATGCAGGCTATGCAAGCCTGAGCTCAATGATTTGCCTATATTTCCCCAGCATTCATGCCCGAAAATGGGACGCCCATTTCGGAGCGCATGAATTCTCAAGAGCATCCATTTCGAAACCATAGTCCTGTCCATCTTTGCGCACATCCATTTCCGTGAGCATGCACGTTGGAATGACGCCCATCTCCAAGCGTATCCATGTACCACAGCGCCGCAGTTGCCCTGTTCCATTTATAGCGCACTTCCCACGGCGCACGAGATGCGTTGGCAGTACTGCAATCATTTGGCAGGGCGGCGATGGACAGTCTGGTACTCTAGAAGCCTAAGTGATTACCACTGTGGTTTTAGACTTCGGGTAGAATTGTAGCATAGGGTACCGCTCAAAGCTGCCCAAGGAATCTTAGTACTTTCCCAAGACTATTGAGTGTAGTTTCCTACACCCCTAAACCCTATGCAGCCACAGTGGGTAGGAAGATGTAGGAAGTAGTCGACCATGCTTCCAAGGGCTTCGGCAGGCTTGGGAAGCAACAAGTTCAGGAGCATGTGAGCTAGAGTCTAGACTCCTTAAGCGGGGGTTATCAAGGGGATTATATTGGGGAGTTGTACAGGATTAAGGTGGATACTAGGCATTTAGACTATAGCTCATATGCTTCCGTTCATAACCACGATTGATCTACCTCCAGCAGCAAAGTACTCAGTGTGCTTGGATATGTTCGATAGCATCAGTGACAAACACACAGCAACAGCCTTCCTGAATTGACCGTAAACCCTAAGTCCTAAGCCGGGTCTGGCGATGTTGTGACGGACAAGTCATGGCGTTTATGAAAGCATCCCCCTTGGCATTGTATCTGTACTAAGACTATTGCCAGCAAATATGTTGCTACTATCAGCTTGTGTGCTTATCAGCTTGTGTGCTTGCGTGAGTGTCGATGGTTTGCGGGCACAGGGACTAGGACGTATGCAGGTTTCAATCAAGTTTCAAGACTATCATCAGGAATGGTCATCGCGGGACTTCCAATTTGGAGTACGCTGAAAGGTAGCCTAAGCCCTAAACCTCTAACCCCATTACTATGTTGAAGATGTACCTACTGAATCCCCTGGGCGTCCTTGTAAAAGATATGGACAGAATTCCAGAACTTGATCAGTCCCCGTTTACACGTTATCCACCTTTGAGCTCTAGGGTTGAGGGTACAAAGCAGCACCCTACCTGAACACCAACAGTATGTAGAATAATGGCCTTTTGGGCTATATTTAGGTCTTTTGGGCTATTATGTTACCTACTTTTGGGGTTCAGGTAGTCTTCAGAGCATTCTTTGCATGTCTCGGCAACCTGACTCTTCCAGTTTATGTTTCACGTCCCTCTTCTGTATCAGAAAAGCGGAAGGCTGCAGCGTTGCTAGATTATACGTAGTCTAGCACACCAATAAGCTCCAATAAGTTTTGTCTTCCGCAACATACCATACAGCCCTAGAAAATCGTAATTTAGGACTCGACATAATGCCGTTGTCATCCATTCACAACTCCGGGAACGCCAAGGGTCCCGTGTTGGAATCCCCTATCTGCGTGCTTGAGACGCATTCTCTAAAATGCAACTCCTTCAGCACCAAACCCCTATACTTTAAACCACAAGCCCCCAAACCCTGATTTTCTCCCCTAATTTTTATAAGTTCTAAGATCCAGGCAGTATCCGCATTGGCACCTTGGCGACAACTCGCAGAGCGCCAGAGGTTTCCCAGACTTGCGGATCGGATTTCCGAGACTCGGCAGTTTAGGGAACATGTCGTTGTACCGTTCGTATGACTATGGAGACTAGCTGATTTTCTTGAAAGACTCTTGAGCTTTGGAAGTATGTCAAAAATCAAGCAACTTCTCCTGGAAAGGTGTTGGCAGCGCACTTATAGCCACAACCAGAATGATAGCAACATAGACATCATAACCTAGTAGCTGCAACTACCCTCTATACAGGCACCCACCACTAGGGACCTTTAAGCCCCAGTTAAGGGTCCTGGGCGTGTCTTGGAATAGACATTTAATGAGGTGAAAAGCAGAAGGGAAGAGAATATGCAGACCTTCTGCGAGTTAGTGAGACGTGTGGACCCTAGGTAGGGTGTTGTAGAGTTTAGGGTTTGATGTGTTTTGAGAATTGTCAGCTTGTGGACCCTACGTTGATCTTCAATGCGTGTCTCGGGGGTAGAGAGACCTTCGCTATAGGGCTGTGGCCTTGCATAGCGTCACTAGAAAATGCCGTGGCTGGCGAGGTCTGTGGTTTAGGGGCTTGCTCGCTATTGTTAATTTTCCGTTAGGGATTGGGCTTGGGGTGGCTCCAGATCGGGCATTATGTGGCAAGTTCATCAAGATCAGGACTCCTCGTTGGCAGCGCAGTGTAATATGGAATATGGATCCGTGTATCATGACTCCCCATTTCCCACACAATGCTCCCATCATTTTGAAGATGAACACGGGCGGAGGGCAGTAGGGTTTTTTGGTTTGGGGTGTTCCGGATGAAGACTGTGACTTGAGGTTTATTTATGGAGCTAGCACAGCCGTTGCATACCATGCAGTGTCTCTTGCGGGACATCTTATGTAGTTATTGCAAGCACATTTTTACATCCTAGTGAAACCCTAAGCCCTACTCTTCCCAATAGGCGTTTCCTGCATTTACTGGTAAATGCTCCTGAGCCCCCCGAACCCACTTGCCATTTAGCTTCGAGAAGCCAGGGAGGGACGGAGAGGGAGGGTTGGGACAGCGACTCCTTACCCGTCAACGGTCGTTTTAGGAGCCTCAAAATCGCGGGTGCCAGCACGCATTGCGGTTTTGGGCGAGCATCCGCGCGGGAACCATACTAACATCCACCACGCCTGCGCAGGGTTTGCTGGAGCCACAATACACCCATTCCGCCCTGGAACCAGAAGAGTAACATCCACCCGTGCCGGCGCACGATTTCGCAGAGCATCCCTGCCAGAATCATACTAACATCCACCCCGGCTGCAAATGGTTTCCCAGAGCATGAAGGCAGGAACCATAATACAAACATGACGGGCCGTAGCTTCCCAATGTCCTTGCGTGTGCATGATCTGCCCAACAGTTTGAGCCGAAGATCCTCCACAATTGGTTTAGGGTTTAGGGTTTCTTGCATGCCCCATGAAGCATCAGAATGCAATGATCTACTGTCCCTGTCAACGAATTCACACGTTCTTCTAGTCCTGCGCCTGCCGTCGCGCGTTTACGTACGGTCCGACCGTTGTTAGGGAACAACACTTGTATTTCTTTTGCCCTATCGTTCTACAATTACTGTCATACTCGTTTTCCACTTGCACTTGCGTTGTTGTGTATACCCAGTAATCATTAAAGTACAGGTGCCCCCTGTTGAAACCATACCAGTGTTCCAGAGGGAAATTTTCAGGATTAGGCAGAGTGGGGGGCATATTTCTGTATGTGTAAGGTGAAGGGGTGAGCATCCCAAACCACAAAATGTATGCACCCATAAATCTATATATATATATATAGATATATACATATGCATATGTAGTTATGTTCATATGTATTTATATATATATATACACATTTATTTGTTTGTTTACATATCTTTATTTATATTTATACACATGTATGTGTCAAGAAGCGTGATGGTCCCGAACCACAAACTGTTGATGGAGTAAATCCTGCAGGCTGTTGTCCATCCGGAAACCCTCAACCCTCAATTGAGTTGTAGTTTATTTGGGGATACTTTGTACCCAATATAGAGTAAGATTACCGCAAGATTGTATCTTCCCTTTGGGGAAAAATCTCTTATATAAGGAATATAATCTTACTGGGTTCAACCACCAAAAAAACGTTATTCAAGTGAGGGAATGTGACTCAGGAGATGATGAGCTTGCTCCCGGAATGGCGAGAAGGCGCTGTGATCAGCGCCACCGGTGGTGGGACCAGCGACGTGCAGACAGCAGTACTGCACCAAGTTGAGGCGTGGTTCGAAGAAAAGAAGCTTGCTCTCCCAAGAGCAGAATTTTGCTGTTTTGCGTTTAAAAGTTTAGGGTCAGGGCTTTGGGCCGGAGAAGTTATGGCTAAAAGTGTTGCTAGTTTACAACTCGGCTTTGGATGGTTGATCCTGACCATAACTCCTTGGGTCCTCAAGTAAGACCCTTGGAGCCTGTTTGAAGAAGCTAGCAAGTCTCGTAAACACAAAGTTGGCAGTATGGCGCAACATTTTGTTCATCTTCATTGTCGTAGCAGCCCCTGGGTAGGAGATATGTGGATGTTTTCCCAGAGCCCCTTCACTTTGGCTTAGGGCTTAGGGCTTAGGTTTCTAGCCCTGTCAAGGCACATGCCAGCGAAGATAAGGGACAAGAGGTTCATGTGACGTATCGTGGTTACTGTTCCTGATGCTAAGCGCTCATTAACGCCCTGAACCTAAAATGAAGCCCTTGTCAGACTTTATCCTGAAGAGCGACCCTGTAATCCCCTGGTAATTACCCAGTAAGGGGGATTTCCCAAAAGTAGGAACTACCATATCTCCAGTGTTTGGCAGGGTCCCCTTTTTTGCGGAATCCCCATCCACAAGCAAGGATGGTCCCTCTGATTTTGCAGATGAGAAAAGAGGCGGCCACTGAACAGGGGCTTAACATCATTCAGGATCTTCAAGAAACAGCTAGGCAAATTACTGTTTGTGATTTTGAAAGAAGCGTGCTAAATGCATGCATTCATGAAGAGGCAGTCTAATGGGATTGCCTGGCTAGTGTGTGTATTTGGCGGGTGTTTCCTTCTTGGCACTTAGCTTGGACCTGGGACCCCCCATTTCTGGGGGATCTCCTTATATTCCTATTATGTAAAAGCTAAGTTTTAAAAGCTAAGTTTTAGTAGGGGTCCTAAGTGCCATGTAGAGTGGGCATTGCAAGAATCTGGCCAGCATGGTGTTCTGTGAGATCGCGGCTGGCTGAAGATAGCAGTGCCATTTCGGCGCGAATCCACGGAATTGTGTGCGCGCCCAGGGCCAGGAGGCCATTGCCTAGGGATCCATGTATACAAATACAACCTATATTAGAGCCCTAGAGTCGGTAAATCTTTGCTACATTGGGCTTTGGATCCCCATGCACCCCCATAAACTCCTAGTTTCCATGTTATTTTCCATTTGATTCTCCATTATTAGGGTAACACTTTTGGATCCCTTGGCATTTCTTTGCAAGGCAGAGCGAAATGTGAGCTGCCAGTTCGGTGCAGTGCCACAGAAACTGTGTAATTATGCACTGAGGAGGACCAGCGGGTCTGCGGCTCACCTTTTGGCAGGCAGATTGATTACCGCTGAAAACGTGCCCAGCTGCAGTCAGATGTCATTCTATGACATGCACATGGCACTTGAGTGCTGATCGCTTACCCGCAAAGCCGTTTGCTTCCAAGGTTTAGGCTTGCGGACAGGGGCTCCTCGAAGACCTTGCCGGTCAGCCGCCCATGCCATGCATGGACTGATTCAAGTGGCTTTTCGCGGCTTCATCAAAGAAAAGTTTGGCGACAGCGCATGGCTGGAGATTTTGAAGGGAACAGGCATTGAAGACGAGACCTGGATTTTGCAGATGAAGTATTACGATGACACCCGCACCATGGCTGCCGTGAGCATCGGCGCAGAGGTCGGGGATGCGACCAACACAGAAACAATATCGGAATCAAGAAAAGTTCAAAGGGTTGGCAACCTGGTAGCCAATATAGGGCTCATACAATGCTCGTATGAGGATACTGATCTTTTTTGATGTCTAGCCTGCCTCCTATGAGTAAGATACCCTCTGGAGAAGTTACATATCTGGACTCCTTGATAGAGCGCCAACAACAAAAGCCGCAATTGTCGCAGCAGTGGCACTCCTGCGTCAAGCAACTCCTGACCTGGCATAGCAGTATAAGCGCAGCTGTAAGTAAAGTAGCCGCAAGAAATCATTCTCCAGTGTCGTCATTTCACTGTCCGTGCTTTTCTGTCATACTATTCTTCCCATCTGCTTCTCCACCTTGCTTTGCATACTGTGCGCCTTCCAGTCTGCGCTAAACGCCATTCAGCTAGGCATCTACGACTCCTAGAGCTGAACATCCTAGCTATTCCGGGTATCATCATTGTTATCTGTTCTTTTTTTGCGTGTTCCTACTGACTTTGTATTGCTATTCACACTATGACCCAAAGTTTTGCTGAGCGCACTTCTCTTCTTGCTCATTTCATCCTTGCCGGAACCCAAGGGCATTGATGGAAACCTTAACAGCTGGCCGAAAGCACTAAGCTCTAGCAACTGTTGGTGTGAGTGTCTTACCTTTGGGAATGAAGGAATGGAAAAGAAAATGGAAACTGCCATAATGGGTTATATAGGGACTACTATAAGGATCCATTCCTAACTAACCACAGGTAAGGTGTTCCAGGTCTGGGGTTTAGCCTTTCTTTGCTGTGAAAACCTAGCAGTAATGGCAATCCTAGAGTCTCAAATAGTAAACATACTGGATAACCAATTAGAAGCCTGTAAGGAGCGTTTTCTGTGCTTACCTCCCCTCAAGTCACGTTTTGAAGCCCAACAACACCTCCTAAGCCTACATGTTATGCCATTAACGCCGCAGACTTTCTGCCATGCTTGGCTAGATTGACTTGCTGCTATCACTAGTACCGCCATATTTTGGTAGTACCTCAGCCTCAATGTTAGTTTAGCAACTCCTATTCGTACCGAAGTGTGTTCTATTGCATGGACAACGATATCTCCCCCAGCTTGCAGGGGCGCCCTTGGAGACCGCGTCAAAGCTCTTCGGCGTGTGCTTCGTAGATTTTGCGACAGGAGCCAGATTCACAACGCCATGTTTTGAAAAAAAGGCTTTGTGGGTGGTATGGTGTTTCCTAGTGTTCCATGAGCTTGTCTAGCGTGTTCTAGGACCTTGTGCGTTTCTCACTCCCTCAGCTACATTTCGTGAAATAGGGAGACCTAGGTTGCAGTCGGAGACGCCCGCGAGGCTGCTCCGCTCGTGAGGGAGCAACCTGCACGAGTTTCTGAGCAACTTCAACATCTCGCACCACAATGTGGAGATAGGGGGCGTTTTAAAGCTGCTTCTGCTTGGTCACAGAATATTTACGTAACCCTCTTCAATCCCTAGACTCGCCCAGTAAGCAGTCGCTGGCTCCTGAACAACAATGCTGGCAGAACGCTCGCATACCAACGAGGTCGAGGATGCTTGACGGAAGAGCTATTGCTTTAACATCATACTGGTTTCACTATTCTTTAGCAATAACTTGTTTTTTGTTGCTGCGTCGCTTGAAATGCCATCCCAAAATACGTACTACGTGTTGTGTTACCGTATACGGAGAGTGTAGGGCACAGCCTAACTGCTGTTAAAAGCAATATTCCCACAACGGAATGCATGAATGTAGCAGCACCCATGACAACACGAGTAGCACTCATGAAGCTGGTACAGTACGGGTTAGTATGGAGGAACCCTCGCAACCCCGCTGGATCTCAAACTATTTACTTTAAACGCTATGTAGCCCCAGTCTAAAACTCCCAGCATCCCCTTCCTTTTATAACCTCCCTTGAAGGAGTTTAGACTATAGCTCATACGGCAAAAAAGGAGGTAGGAGATTTTCTTCATCCACCAACAGCCATTTTTACCATATTTGAAGTGGGTGACCTGACATGGATCGACGACCGCAGTCAAGTTTAGGGTTCAGGGCAGTATGGAATAATCCCTAAACCCTAAATAGTAGATTCCATTTCATTTTCCATTATCCCAGTATAACCCCAATATAACCCTAATATTGTCCCAATGGGATGCATTTCGAACCAGGAGATGATGGCATTGCTTCCAGAACGGCGGCAGAGCGCAACGGGCGGTGGGACTCGCGATGCGCAAACGGCCGCACTGCACCAAGTTGACGTGGCTTGAAGATCAGAATCTTGCGTTCGCAACAGAGGTTTAGGGTTCCGGGTTTAGGGTCTAGGGTTCCAGTTTCTGGGTTTAGGGTGTAGGCTTCACGGTTCAGGGTTTGAGCCGGTGAGGTGCGCTGTTTAGAGCTCTCCTCGATTTGAACACAATTTTGGATATGCCCGTTTCATCCTCAATGTATTTTTTTTGGAGGGGATGAAAGTTGTAAAATGTATCAACTTGTTTCGTCAGAAGTTAGATTAGTCGTCTCCAAAACCCCGAGTTGACATTGCAGCTGCAGCCTTAACCACAGACTAAGTTAATCATCCCTCCTAATCCCCTGTTCTTAATTCAGAGCAAGGATGGTGCCGCTGATCCTGCCGATGACGAAGGAAGTGGCCACTGAACAAGGACTCAAAGCTATTCGAGATCTTCGCGGAACAGCTGGCCAAGTTACCGCTCTGGATTTTGAATTCAGTGAATGCTTTCACACAAAGAGACGCCCTGATCGGAATTCATAGCTTCTTTTTTTCAAAATTGTCGAGATTCGGCCACTGTGGTGTTCTGTGAGATCGCCGGTTGGATCCACGGAATTGTGTGAGCATCCGGTGCCAGATCTGCAATGTTTTCAGGGCCCTTTTTTGCGGGCCGTGGCCAGGAAATCTGCGCTGCCGGTATGGTACAGATTCGCAAAACTGCGTATGAACCAGGGAGTCCAGGCTTACCTTGTAGCACGGCAGAGAGTGATCGCTGCTGAAAATGCGCCCAGCCGTATTGCAGCAATACAAGACAGGCACCGCTGCCGTGTCTTTGTAGGACATGCATGGCACGCCAATACTGATCACATAGCTATTTGATGCTATTTGGCTTCAGGGGTTCGGGGCCGGACAGGCACTCAACGAAGTCCAGTCATACGCGCCAGACGGGACGCAAGCGAAGTCCGGTCATACAACCCCGCCATGCATGGACTAATTCATGTGGCCTTCCGCGGCTTCATCAAAGAAAAATTTGGCGACAGCGCGTGGCAGGAGATTTTGAAGCGAGCAGGCATTGAAGACGAGGCCTCCATACTGCAGATGAAGCATTACGATGACGCCCTCACCATGGCTGCCGTGAGCATTGGCGCCGAGGTTGGAGAAGATTAAAAGAGAAACAGAGTAGCAGCGAGAGTAGTGGTGGTGGTGGTGGTGG